TTCATTTATTTCTACAACATGTACAAGTGAAATTTTCTGATCATTTCTTTACCATAGTAAGTTGAATTAACCCTATTGTAAATAAATGCCATTGAGAAAGTAAAGGTACCGAGATATGACGCTTTATTTTTGGAGTGAATCGAATAACCGACCAATTGTTTGGGCCTTACCATTATACAGGGGACAGAATACTAACAGTCTTAAGACGTAGTATTTATCTATTGAAATGTGTATTGTAGTTTATATTGAACAATTAATTTGAAAATACAACGCCGATACTTGCCCGGGAGCAAATGCAGCATATTTCAGTCCATTAAATTCCTCCCAACTCCAAAATGAACTGTTCCATATCGACCGCTTCCGTCCAGTATCAAGTGTTTCCATAAAATGTGTGGATAAAGGAGTACAAAATGTATAATTTTGTCTGAAAATAGCAAATTTTACGCGATTGTAGGTGGTGTATGCAATGCGCCAAATATGTAAATAACGTGTTATGTATAACATGCTTTGTATGTGATTTCAGGCCATTTGGTTTTTGTATTAGGGAGCAGGAGCCAAAAAAAAAAACTATAAAAAAGTCAAATTTTACATAAATCTAAAGTAGACACTACACGATTGTAAAAGCTTGTATGAAAGAAAAAATATGCCTGGGAGTATTTACCCACTTTACCTCTATGTGAAATTTAATGTCATTTGGCCCCAAAGAAGAAGAAGAGGAGAAATATGAAATATGACGAAAAACAGTATTTCACTCCATACAATAGTATTTTAGTATAGTAATTTTTCTGGTCCATTCCAATTTGCCTCATAATTGTAGGGGTGCATCTGAAATATTACATTGACTGGGAAACAGCAACGGCAAAAATACACATTCGTGCATCATCACGGGCATGCCCGCAGACGGCGTATAAAATAGCATGCCGATTACACAAAGAGAATCCAGTGTTCTAGCTGCGAACACGAAAAAACGGCTACTCACGGAGTAATAATGCAGCTCTAAGAACAACCCGTACATTTTTTTTACCTTTCAGACAACAAGGATCCGAGTGAAACAAACGGCCGCCGTGGTCTCCGTGACTTTGTTCGCCCTTACCCCGGCCTCATTCCAGGCGTTACAGCTGTGGTGGCAACCTTGGTCATCTTGGTATTACTCGTCGTAATGGTGATCCATGTTAAAAAGGTATTTGATGCCTTTGCCCAAAGGGTTCTGTTTTTGGTAGCGTTTCGACGTATATATATATAT